GAAGAGGAGAGAGAGAGAGAGGGGACTGGCGAGGGAGAGGAGGAGAGACCCTCCAAGCTCCCGATACCTCAGGCGGTGATAACCGCCGTGCAACTCAGTCGCCCACTGCTGCTCCGCACGCTGCTGCGCTATTCTGCGCTATGCTGCGCTCCTGCTCCAGCCCCTGCGCTAAGTTTAGCGCATCAAAACAGCGCTCTGGCGCTGACCATACCGTACCAGTACAATGCCGGTAGGTCGATGCCTCTACTGAGGCAGGTACCGGTACTTGTACCGGTAGGCCATGGTCTGGCCTCAATGCTGCGAGGCCAGGCCAGACCCTGGACCGTCCAGATGGACGGTTCAGCCTCAATCGGCGGGCGGCAGCTTCAAGAGCGCCGCCAGGCCCAAACGAAGTGTCGTTTGGGCCTACCCGATGGGTGCTGGTCCAAAATCAGGCCCTTAGGGCTTGTAACCCCAAAGGTCGGGCCTTTTGGCCCTGGTGTGTCCCTCCGGCCCTAAGTCGGGTACGTAACATGGGCCCAGCGAAAATGAGGCCCCCACAATCGTTGCACGGGACATGCTGTGTTCCACAGAGTGGTGAGTTGGTTTGGTTTTCTTTTTTCGCATGGATGACGTGAGGTCGAGGCCATATGGCGCAGTTGCAGTATGTAGGGTTCTCCCGCTGTATACAGTGTTCGCAGCATGTTTGTTGTGTTTGCGGTTTCAGGGGTCGTCAGCTGTGTCTCTTCCTTTTTTGTCGTTTTGCGGGGTGGGGCAGGCCAGCTTCGTCACATCGGGCGTTGTGGAACGGGGTACACGAGCCTCGCCACATTCCTCTTTCTTCTTCTTTTTTTTTGTCTTTTGTGGGGCGGTGTATGCCAGCCTCGCTGGACGAAATGGCACAGGTCGTATCACCCTTTTCCATAGAGGCTCCCACGCAAAACGATTGCAGTGAAGAATCGACTTTCAACGTAACACTTCGTTGACGGGTAAGGTAGAAAGAATCGAATATGATTTAAATCTTTCCTCTTGGATTTCCCTAGTACGCACATTCCCTTCCCTTCTTTTTTTGGGCGGGGTCTTCAGGAGGACGTCGGGCTTTCGTGACATGTTCAATACAAGTACATAGGAGGCATAGCACGTAGCTCCAATTTTGCATACACCGGGACATTTTTGTTGAATGTATCTGACCCTGAAGTTGAGCTTTCGTGCACTTGGACATTTTATGGATGTATGTGAACATGATGTTGGCCTTTCATGGCACGTTCGCAGACAAGTACATAGAAGGCATACTGTAGCTGCTGTCTTCCAATGTTTGCTTACACTGGAACATGTTTTTACGGGCAGACTAGGCCTTGCTCCTTAGGTCATACTCACACAGCACACCCTGGGACATTGGGCCTTGGGCCTTGCTCCCCTACTCACCACATGCACAAAAGACAGAAAATGTGGCAGTTTATATGCCCGTCTGTGGCAGAATGTTCATTTCCATTTTGCTCATTACTCGGGATTTACAAGCAGCAGCTCCTTAGGGCATATTACTACTGGGACTTTTTGGGACATACTCACACTGGGACTTAGTGATGCTTAGGGCACAGATCAACTCAAATCATAACAATGTAGCTGGAGTTTACATATCACAGATCAACTACATCGAGGACTGGGCGCAGCACCACTTCACCCGTACAGCCCTTCTACTCCATCTGTTCAAGCTGTAGTGGATTTTAACTGTCCGCGATTAAATACTCTCTTTGGTCCCTTTGGTCTCCTCTTGAGGCAAGGAAAAATAAAAAGAAAGATAAGGAAAAAAGAAGAAAAAGACAGAAAGCATATAAATAATTTAATAAATAAATAAATAAATATGCGAGGATCTGCGTCCTCGGCAGGCCTAAGGGGCCCCGGTTACGGTGGTGCCCGCCCTAAGTGAAGGCGGGCCTAACATTTCACAAGAGGCCTTTGACTGTCAATTTCATATTTGGGGTACAGGCAGTTGCGACGCGCCAGTTGGTTGAGAGAAACACAGGCCGAGCAACAAAGACATTTCCACGGCCTACCAGGCCTTTCCAAAGAATGCAGGCCCAGTAGCTGCAGGGCAAAGGCAGCATCCTGGGACCTTCCGGAGGCTTCTGGGCCCAGGAAAGAGCTCTCGCCAGCCAGCCTCATTCGGTCACTTGCTGGCTGGCGGCAGCGCTGCTGGAGCGATAGCTCGTGGGCTGACTGCTGGCATTGGGAGCAAGAGGCTGCGCACGTGCGGTCGTGTGGTGAAGCAGGGCGCTGCTGAGGGAAGCGCCATAGCCAGCCTTCATAGCGGGCTGGGCTTGGATGCACAGTGAGGCGCAGGGGTGGTCTTCGGGTGTAAGAGAGGACATGCGTGGGTGTAAAGACAGGGAAGGGCGAAGGATGATGATGATGATGATGTGAGGGCACATACCTTGTATTGGCGATGGTCTGCATAAGGGCGACATCTTCAAGTACTTCGGGTTGCCGTTGATGTCAACAGTTGCATTGTCTACTAGTAGGCTGATCGTAGCTGTGTAGGAGTAGGCTGGGCGCTGAGCGCCAAGTAGGAGTGTGAAGGGACTGGACTCTTGTGTTGTGGCGGAGAGAGAAGCTCTCCTTGACATTGGTGTATTATTGGTGCAATGCTGCTCTCTGGACACAGTGTGACTATCTGGCTTTCAATGTGATAATGCAATCTGGAATTTGTCATCTCGCTGTTGCTTATTTTCCTTGCAGTTTGGTATCGGAGCTGGTTCATACTGCGCTTCATTGGTTCTTCGCAATAGCTGTTCGGTGCTTTGCATGAGGTGTGTGGCAGTGATAAGGCTTGGGCGTTGAACATAAGGCGGCCCAGGGTCGTGTGGGCGCGCCAGGGAGCTATGTGGTGACATACGGGGTGTATGCTGGATGATGAGAGCTGATGTGGCATATTAAGCTGAGGTGGAACCGCATTCTGCTGTTGGTTGTGCCGAGGCAAAGACCGGTCATCATAATTGCACATCAGGTTGCCGGTGAGAAAATCTGTGGTTGGGGGCCGCATTATGAGGTACGTTGCTCTCTTCCTTATCTACCCTCTTCATTGCTTCTTACCGTGAGGAAGTGAGTTCTGTCTTGAGAGTCCTCTCGATGTGAGGTGTCGCGAGCGCTCAACCTTGAGAGTCGACATTCTTCCTGGCAGCAAGCTGGTGGGAGACGGGCGAAGCCTCTGAAGGGCSCTGGACGAAGCACTCRGGTCACRGTCACCATGCCAAMCCGCTGGGACTAGTACAYGCATGCTTTGCCGCAAGTCCTTGGTT